AATATATGGTACCACAGAGAACAGTGTCATCTCTACCTGGGAATAAGGATTCTCAGGTATAATGATTGCTACTACATGGACATATGCTTAGTTAATACCCATTAAAATACTCTCAATACATAGCTAATGCCCATTAAAATGTTCTTGCTGTTCTTTCTAGCTGCTGACACACAATGGTCAATTGTGGATCTAACTCTGACCTGGTCATGGCTATCGGGAAAATCATCTTGTTCTTTCATAGAAACTAGGAGCACGCAAAATGATCAAGACCTTATTCAGTATTGACGTACATCTCTTTATACATGAAAAGGAATCAGACACCAATCACAAATACATTGTAGAGTGAAGCAGGGGGTGGAAGAGGGAGAGGGCTAACTACTCCTTTGGCTGTAGTCCTTACATGAATACATCCTCTTCAACTGCTATAGTCTTTTCTTCACAGGGACTATGAACTGTTCTCCTTATAGACTACAATTCGATGCATCATTGTCCTCAGTGCTTATTCCAGACAGCCACTGCAATAAAAGTTGCTACTATGTACAGGCACACACATCTATGAATCCTACAGCTTCCTTTTCTTCATGTCCAAGTAGCTCATTTCAATTCAGTTTGTGGATGTAAACAAACGTGAAAAAAGCCAAGAGGCTTATGCTTCTAGTTTGACATTCTTGCTACCAAAAAAAACAAAAGATAGCTTACTGCATGTTCTCACTACACGATGAGAGCAATGCAGGCTGCCCATCCAAGTCCACTTTGCTTGGCACCTCTTCCTCTGTGAAACTGGCATAATACTGCGCCCAGGCACAGTGCCATCTTAACACATGGGCAAAAGCATAACCAGCCAAGAGACCAATGGACGAGCATCCAACACATTTAACTGAAGGCATGATTCTGACTCAGGAATATCTGTAGTCACTCCTGAGGGGCCATGCTGATGCTTTCAGAAAGAGGTCATTATTATTGCAATTGAAAACAAGGCTAATTTAAGTCTTAATAATGGGAAACCTGCAAGGTGAGTGTTTGAGTTCTGATGGATCCAGATGATCACTCTGCAACACTAGCTGTAGAGACTGGGGATACAACCAATAATATAAAGCAGTGTTCTTACCCTTTTGGCAGCCCAAGAAAGGTTTCCTGGAAACAGCTTCTTCTCAAGTGATTCAAAGGAATTAACATGTTGTTAAACTGACAGGACTGGTGAAAAATGCTTCCCAATCTGTGGGTTAAACCCTTCTACTGAACAAAAACCCTGAAGAATTAAATTAAAATCTGTATTTTAACAGTTCTTTATCAAAGATATGGGGATCATTTTATATCTTCCCTTTCTTGCCTTTATTTTTATCTTTTTTCATTCAGTACTGCACAGGTTATTGCTGGCTCGGATGAATCTCACTGCACTGCTGAACTTCCTATCCTCTACCAACCTTTAAGGTTTCAGAATATTGCTACTCTTTATTTCTACCCATAAAATAACTTCGTGGGCAAATGGTCCATGAGGACTTGATTTATTGTGGCTGTGCAGGAAATGTAGAGGGATAGGACTGCCCTAAGAGGACAATTATTTGCATGATGAAACTATACAGGGTATCTGCATAGGCATTTTTTTTCCTAGGGATGGCATGCACTTCTTAACGATAGCTGAACACAAGGACCCCAGACTGAGGCATTTATTAATTTGGAATAATTTAAGCTCTTTGTTTAATAATCAAGTTAAATAAAAAGGGTGGTGGAAGAAGGAAGTTGCCTCAAACTTTTTAGAAAACATAGCAAAACAATATACACAGCAAGTGGATGGGCCCTGGAGAACACTACACTTCTATAGATGATCGTTTGCCAATCAGAGTGCACAAGCTGCATGACTTAAGGGTTTTTTTTTTGCTGTTGGTGGGTAAATAAGCTCAAGCTGCTGGGCCCTCTGATTGGCTATTCGTAACATAATGGAGTAAAATCTAAACAATATGCTCCTTGTAAATATTTGATCTGCCAGTTATCTAATGGCTAAAGTAGCCCAGCATCCAAATGTATTTTTATATGCCAAAGAAGAGCATTGGAGGTTGGGGTTTCTTTGTGTAATCCTGCCAACACATTGCTTGGCACATAACAACAATTAATTTCTGATACTGCAGTATGCAGGGAGATCTGTACTGCTCAAAGGCATCAGTCACACTCCTCTAATTAGCTATAATTCTTAGTATTTATTATTACTACTTGCCTTATTATTAGCACTCACACTAGGAAAAAAAATGACATTCTCTACCACAAAGGACTTGCACTCAAAACCTCTCTCAAACAAAAGAATGAGCAAAATGTCCAAGGTCAGGTTGGCTTCATGTCTTATTAGTTAATCTCTTTAGAAACTATTATTTTCCACACCCTCACAATCCCAACAATCCCTTCCCTCTCCTTTTATCACCCAGCTGTACTGCTGCCCACAGTCCCCATGTCAATGGGAGTGCCTAGAGACCCTCTATGCGAGGTCCCTGTAGGCAGGAAGAAGCATTTCCGTGGCATGATCTGTCTTTGCAGACAGCAGCGGCTCCTCTTGCTCATTCTTCCTCCCTGCTACAGAGGTTAAGGATGGGGGCTGCATGATCCTTCTCTTGTTGGGTAAATCAACATGGTGTCAACTGGAGTTCAGGAATATAAAACTCCTGTCATGACGCATGGGGGAAGGCCCATAGAACTCACCAGGTGCCCTTTGCCAACTCAAGGGTCCATTATTTTCTAACCAAATGATGTCATGACACTGATTTTCCATAACAACTGCCTCAGCCTTTGAGAGCCAACTTCCTCTATTAAAATTGCAATTAAAAGCTAATATCATAGAACTGGGTATCATCCTCAATAATCACTCAGATATTCACACAGTCACTATGCATTGCTCTTGGGCAGTCATTACTACAATATAGCTGGGAGCATTATACGGTCTGGTGAACAGTAAAAATAATACTTAGCACTTACCTAGCACTTTTCATCTTCCATTTGTTTAACTAATATTAATAAATGAACCACAGCAACACCATGTAAAATAAATATTAACCAGCATATTGAACAGAAAGAAAAAAACAGTTTGAAAAACACTACTCATGTAAAACCAAGCACTCAAAAATTAGGAAATGGTGGAATTAAGATTTCTGTGCAGCTTTATTTTGGCATTTTTGCACATACACATGACAACATATTCTTTAATTATGTAATCAGAAGCCATTTTTTTCCACAGGCACCTTTCATCATTCAGTGCCCAGGACTCACCTGCTCTAGGTATGGATTAGGGCTGTGGGGTGAAGGAAGCTGTTGTCTGTAGGGCACTGATTGCAAAAGTTGTAATGAATACAGTGAATGACAGAGTTGTAAGAAGGAAGAAGACATTCTCACATTTAAGACAGTTTCATGCTGTCTTGAACAGTTTGATTCTCACCCTACATCTGCCAGAAAGTCTTTTTCTGAATATAAGTGAGTTCCTAAAACCAACTTTTTGATGATCAGTAATACACTGTGTTTGCTGTTTTCTGGATGCCTGACTTGAGATCTTCAGGTCTAACACACAGATGTGCTAAGAATTCACGGCTACAATTGTATTCAACAGGAGGTGTACTTTGAATAGATCAGCTATTATTTAGTGTTTAGCACTGAAAAATCAGATTGTAGGCCTCCCAAAATGGCATTCAAAATTAGCAAATACATTTAATCTTAAGCACTCTGTATCAGGTCCCCATTTGTAAAATGGAATAATGCCACTATTAATATGTAGGGAGTACTGAGATACTATAGAGATGAGCTTCAAACAAAAGCCCAGGAAGAAATTGTTAATTCTGTCTTCAGAACAGGGTTTCAACAGCACACAGTAAAATGAAGCCTAAATCTACACACTGAACAAAATACAACAAAGTACTGATGAGATGAACCAATCCAGTGTGGTGACTTAGGCAAGAGTCCTCTGGAATACAGGAATTAAAAACTATATTTTATGCATATGCACACTGGATAAGTTAAGCTTGTATAGGCAACCTTCATTCCAGCATTTCCTAACTTGTGAGTGCTTGACTCGAACCTGTAATGACATTATTAATAGTCTTTCATGAATAATTTCCTAGGTTTTTAAAGAAGCAACCTGAACCCCTCTCCACGTATTCTATCATAGGGCATCCCACTGAGACCCACACTACCAGTCAGCAAGACTGGAAGCTTTAAAACCAGCACACTGGCTTTTGCCACTTGAGCTTC